CACACACACACTCTCTCACACTCACACACACACACACACACACACACACACACGCACACTCTCTCCAGGAGCAGGACACCCTGGTCTAAATGGTTTTATAAAGAACCATAAAGAACATTTCTATTGTAAAACTCCTGCCAAATATTAAATGTTTAGCGACTGTTAAAATGAAGCATCATATTCAGTTTCTGTGTACATTTAAGCCCCGCCCACTTTGATTTGATTGGCATCTCGATCAATTTGACATTAATGAGGCAGAGCAGATTAACAAAGTAACATTTAAACATTTTTGTGATCCTAATAACAAACAAGGCATCAATATCAAATATTATGGGGGATTATTGTGGACTTGTGCCACTCATGGTGATTTCAGCTGTTTAGATGGTTATTGCTCTGATGTTGAACAGCTCTCTGCGATCAGAGCATTGCCAGGAAGTGACATCACTCTGGATGTGCACAATAAAACCGTCACTTCAGTCTCATGCTCGGTGTACTGGGACATTTAAAGATGGCACACGCACACTTTAGAACCCTAAGAAGCCCATTTCTATGCCTCTAAATGATCAAACTTTGCTCAATCTCCTCATGTCTTCTGTCTCTGATTGATAGTTTACAGTTTTTATCAGTAAAAGCTCTTTTAGTGTAATTGTACAAGCGTCCAGCTTCAGCTTCTCGTGTCTTTCTGCTGTGAATCTTGACTGATTTTGATCAAATAATCGTCAGAATAACTGCAGTAATATCTCCAGATGAACACTTACTGCACTGAAGCAGCTCAGCTTTGCTTGGTTCTCCATCAATCATGTTTTAGAGTCTCAAATCTGATCCTCAGGATCTTTTGAGGAGCGTTTGTTTCCAGAAGCTTTACTTTCACTGTTCCTCAGCGGAGGAATGATCTTCACAAGCCTCCAGAACATCTCACATCTTCTGAGGAGCCTTTATTTCTTCAGCTCTCAATCACTGCATTATATGTTTGGAGCATTTCAATCTCATTTTACTGAGACAGATTATTGGAGATATAGACTGATATTTAGATCATTTAATGTCAGTATCTGCTGCACTGTTATAAAGAACTCATCGATTTACATTACAAGCAGCAGAATTTACAAGCATAAAAAATATCAGCATCTGCACCAAATTCATATTTTGTTTTTTTCCTTCATATTCTCACAGTATCAGACTATATGAGCCATAAAAGCCTGATGGATCAAATATGATACATACAGTATGCAAATGTTTTTTAAAGATTGTCTAAAGGTAAATAAACTGTTGCATTAAAAAAAAATGTAAATAGACCATTGTTTCATATGTCAGGCTTTACAGGGTTAAATCTCGTCATGTCTCATGCACTAGTTTTCAGTGTTTAATTTCTGCATTTTACAGTGATAAAGCTGCCGTCTGCTCGTGTTAACACACTCAAACACACCCAAAAGCTCAGATACACACTCCGTTTCTCCTGCAGCGTTCGAGCTTCAAACGAACCGACTTGCTTTCAACAGCCTGTTTTATTCTGTACTGAAGGAGTCAGTCTGACTCTGTAATAGTGAGATACACTGTATACCGTGCTCCAGGAGTCTGAGAGAGAGACAGCTGCTGTTTGTCTGTGGCATGACGCTCGTCCCGCTCTCGCGGCGTGGCCGTATGGCTTCACAGAGGTGAGTTATATAATCCAGATCTACAGCGTTCTCACCTCAGAAAACATCCCTCCGTTTACGCAGCATCTCCATGAGATTCACAGCACAGAAACACACCCTAATCCATCAGTCAGAGCTTTTAAGTGCACTCAGCAAACCTTTTACGTTCAGCTGTTTTATTGTTCAGTGGCTACTAATGGCTTTTCTTCATTCTCTCGCTCTGTATTGTTCATATTGTCGTGTCTGTCTGTGTTTTAGGCCACTTCCTCTTGACAGTTGTGGCTTCAAGCTGTTTTCTTACTTAGTGCATGTACGTCTGTGACCGCACTGACACACAACGCTCACTTTTAGTCCCAAAATGCACTCTCAAGTTCAACTCTGTCCACCTTTAAACCTGGATAATCTTGCATACGCACTAATTAGTCTCACATACACCAATTAGACACACACTAAGAGGATTGCATCAGAAATCATGATTGCATGAACCGAAACAGAAATGCAGTAATTGCTTTTTAAACAGGTTTTAAATCAGTGAGTGTTGCTGAAACAAAACAACGTTTGAAAGCAGAATTACATCAGCGTTTACGGTACGATTGATTTCATGCTGTTCTGAAATGTGTTAGAACCAGTGTAGTTATTGTTCACTGAAACTATTACAAATCATCTTTAAATTAATCAAGCTGAAATAAAATAAATACAAAATATCAGATGACAAAAATGAATTGAAGCTGTGAAAAAAATGTACAGTAGTCAAGTTACTAAAATAAAAAAAATTAAAATGTAAATAAAGCTGAAATAAAATATAAAGTATTACTTGGAAAAACCTGAAAATACGTTGAAGATTACTAAAATAAGAAAACTGAAACTAAAACTATTGGAAATCATTTTTGGTAATTTAAATAAAACTGAAATAAAAATAAAATGTTATATATTGCATGGAAATTATAAATTAGAAGATTGAAATAAGTTTCCATGAAATCAGTTTAAGTTTGTAATTTTAGTATTTAGTATTATTTAAGCATCATTTCAGTTATTTCAGTTTCTAATTTTTTAGTTTTTCATGTAATGATTTGTATTTTGTTTCATTTAAATTTTTTCAATTACTAAAAAATGATTGTTAGTAGTTGTAATTTTAGTACTTATATATATATATATATATATAAAATTGAAGTAAAAGTACTAAAATTACGAACTTAAACTGAAATAAAAAATAAAACGATATAGAAATGTTTAAAAATAAATAAAATGGCAAAAGCACATAAAATTACTCAAATTAAAATGGAAACTAAAAAGAGCAAATCTAATTTAAAAACAAAAGTGAAATATTAATAAATGCAATAAGAATAATAATAATAATGCTGTGTGCTGCATCTTCAGTGAACTATGCACCAAGTTTCTTTCTAATCTCTCTAATGTTTCTCTCCTCAGATCTCATCATCTGCCTACATTTCCCAGAGTTCCCTGTCAGAGCAGGGGAAGCAGCAGTGGGCGGAGCCTCCCAAGCCGTTGCCAGGTCAACGACCCCTGCAGACGCTGCAGCTGTGGGATCAGTACTGCGATCCCGGAACCGGACGCTGTTACTACGTCAACACCGTTACCGAGGAGCGCTCGTGGAAACCTCCGCGCAGAGCCCGCGAGAGCCCCGCCCACCAAAACAAGGTGAGCGACCAATCAGATCCCCGGAACCAGCGACCGTGGACCAATCAGAGACGGCCAATCACGCGTCAGTTGTGTGTGAGTTATTTTGAGGGGACAGCAAATGTACACTGTTATACAAGCTGTACACTCACTACTTTACATTGTAGCAAAGTGTCATCTCTTCAGTGTTGTCACATGAAAAGATATAATAAAATATTTACAAAAATGTGAGGGGTGTACTCACTTCTGTGAGATACTGTATCTAACTATCTATCTATCTATCTATATATCTATCTATCTATCATAAATATGTTGTCTGTCTATCTATCTATCATAAATATTTTATGTTTATCTATCTATCTATCATAAATATGTCTATCTATCTATCATAATTATATTAATTATTATATTATATGTGGTAAATTCATGTTCCAGTTTCACTTAATTCTACTATATTTCCAGCTAAAATAAATTAACTTTGGTTTTTTTTACAAAAACAATGTTTACACTAACAAAGTATTTAGTGGTATATTTATTAAGACAGAGTAATTACTTTAATAATTTAGTGTTTTTAAGCATTTTTACATTTATTTCAAACTATCAACTATAAGAATGTGGTAACTATTTTCAGATTTGGTGCATATTTTTTGTTTGTGTTGTTATTTTAATAAACAGTTTCCATTTCCATTTAGACCATCAGTCATCAAAGTTCCTAATGCTCAAAGACCTTTAATTTCACTTTGTGTTTTGCTAAGATCCGCCTCACTCGCAGATCATTCAAGCCAGTCAAAGATTGATTGAACAGAAAGAGGTGAAATGTAAAAATGAAGGATGCATTGCTTCTGTCTTTGCGTTTCCTCGTGTCTGTGCTGTTGTTTTTGGGCGGTGAGCGTGTGATCCCGGACTAATCCGCAGCATATGGAGGAACCGGGGTTCAGTCTGTCCGTTAAGCTGCTTTTGACCACTGCTGCTGTAACTGAGTCTGCTAATTGAGTTGAGTGGTTGGAGGATAAACAAATTAAACCCAACATTATTGAGATGAAGTGAGGCGGATGTAATGCAACTGGACTGAATCTAATGTGATTGGACTGAATTGAGTGAAGCTAACCTGAAATCGTCCCGTGCAGAGCATGCAGCACATGGCATCATCTGAAGCCCTTAGCTCCGCCTCTGGTGTGTTAGGCGACGCCCATCGCAGAAACCCCGCCTTAGCAGGGGGCGTGGCACACGTCAGCCACTCCTACTCCATGTTCCTGCCCTCACAGGTGCAGAGAGCTTCTGCAAACGGCAAGGTGAGAGGAACTGCATATCAGGACTTTTACACGCATACACATACATCTATTCCCATTCATCTCAATGCCACATATTTCATGTGTGCTGGTCTTTTTAATAGCCTATTTTAATTTAATTTTTAATTTTTTTAATAAAATTAACATGCATGCATGCAAAAAAAAAGAATGGAAAGTAATTGCATCAGAAAACCAGCTAAACGTTGAACCAGAAAACACGTTATTCAAAAATAGCAGAGGAAAATACAATAGTATTTTTAATTGTTATTTACTTTCATTGCAATGATTATTTAAAGGGACAGCAACATAGAAGAAAGGCTGTAATGTAACAGAGGATGAGAAAAGGGTCATGGGAAACTAAATTATGATGTACATTATAACATATGTACACAGTATTACTGCAGATTATGTCGTCTTGATCATATTGTTGTATTTCATATCGTCTACAGTCAGATCACAGGCTGGTGGTGGAGCCTCCTTCATCTGACAGCTCACCAGACACTGAAGGAGTCACACCGGTGAGAAACACACAAACATATACAGAGCTAACATACTGCTGAAGAAACACTGTAAAATAAACTATATTAAATTTACAGTGTCTCTTCAGCAGTATTATATACAGGTGCATCTCAATAAATTAGAATGTTGTGGAAAAGTTCATTTATTTCAGTAATTCAACTCAAATTGTGAAACTCGTGTATTAAATAAATTCAATGCACACAGACTGAAGTAGTTTAAGTCTTTGGTTCTTTTAATTGTGATGATTTTGGCTCACATTTAACAAAAACCCACCAATTCACTATCTCAACAAATTAGAATACTTCATAAGACCAATAAAAAAAACATTTTTAGCGAATTGTTGGCCTTCTGGAAAGTATGTTCATTTACTGTACATGTACTCAATACTTGGTTGGGCCTCCTTTTGCATGAATTACTGCATCAGTGCGGCGTGGCATGGAGACAATCAGCCTGTGGCACTGTTGAGGTGGTATGGAAGCCCAGGTTGCTTTGATAGCGGCCTTCACGTCATCTGCATTGTTGGGTCTGGTGTCTATCTTCCTCTTGACAATACCCCATAGATTCTCCATGGGGTTCAGGTCTGGTGAGTTTGCTAGCCAGTCAAGCACACCAACACCATGGTCAATTAACCAACTTTTGGTGCTTTTGGCAGTGTGAAGGAAGCATGAAGTGCTCCAAAATTTCTTGGAAAACGGGAGCAGTGACGTTGGTTTTCAAAAAAACACAATGGACCAAGATACGGAGATACGGTATATATATATATATATATATATATATATATATATATATATATATATATATATATATATATATATCTGCTCTATTCAGCAGGGTAAATTCATGTTTAAACCGTTTAATCCTAACTAATTCTGATGATGTCATTCTAAACATGTTTACACCAAAAACTGAACACAAACACACTCGTGACACACACACACTCACACACACACACAATGACCGGTTGTGTCATGACAGGAACTGGAAAAGGCCGGTCTGCTCAACAAAACCAAGATAGCAGAAGGAGGCAGGAAACTGAGGTGAGCTTATCTACACACACACACACACACACACACACACACACTCTCACTCACTCACACACACACACACACACACTCCC